AAAAAGGATTATGAGATGCTATTGATATCGTGTCACTTAAAAAAAAATAACAGTTGGACATGTAATTCTAAGACCTGCGAATTGTTATTTATTAAATGACACACTCTATAATAAAAATATAAAAACATTAGAATGTTTAATTTAAACTTTTCAAAATTAAGAAAATGATATGAACTGATTCAAATTTTTGAGGGTTTTGTGTATTTTAGCCTCACACTACATATCATTTTCCAATTACCCAATGAAATTAAATATAATATTATAACAACTAGTTCATAAAGGTAACAGGTAGGTATGAGGTTGTGCTAATTACAGCTTTTATGTGATTTATCTTGATATATTCAGTCAATTTTGGAGACATTAATTCATTCATTTTTGCGAAGCAAGGATTTTTTTTTAAAAAAAAATTCAATCGATAAGTTTCTTTTCGACCCCTTCTTATTCATCTTCTCGGCTAAGGAACTTGGAGATGATGATGGCTTGAGCTTATGTATGCCTTTCAAATGGTTAAGAGATTTGTGGAGTAATTTTTTATTTTTCCCCCCTCCACTAATCATTTCCAATGTACAATGCTGTATTTATTTATGGTTTAAACCATGTTTTCAAATATGATATCCTTTATTGCAATCTCTATTATAGTGTAAATGATACGGAGATATGTAGATTGGCTTCAACCTTCCACTATACAGCAAATAATTGTTGCTTTATTTTTCAACTTTTTCCTTGTCATAGGATTAAGCATCATTATCGTAATTAAGTTGTCACATGCGTGGGGACATTTATGATAGAGAGATCGGAAGTGCCACGGTAATTGCGTGGATGATGACACTTATTTGTTGAATCTATATATCTACTCCTTTCGGTTTTTACTATAAAGCAGATTTTACTACCTCATCAAATTCAAAGAGAAATGGATAAATCATTAGTTTTGTCTGAAAGTTAAAAAAAAAATCTTGGAAAAATGAAATTAATACATCATTTGGTAATCTATAATATAAAGACAATCTATTTTTTTGGGAGGTGTCTTATAATAAGAGGATTTTTTCCAGGTTTTTTTTAATAATGTATAGGAGGAAATGGGATTACATTTGGATGCACTGGAATTGCGGTGTTGGTGACTTCTAATTAACTTAGTGAACACAGTGGAATTGGAAAAGATAAAGATGAAGATATTACCTGACAAAAAGAGCCTACTTTTGATCAGCCGCGTTTCTCACATATATACATACATATATATATTTGGGCATCTCTCATATATTATTCTAACAATTACTATTCTCACTCTCTAACTAACCACCCTTAAATTTGATCTTTGATAAGTCTTCTCGAGCCTTTCCATTCTTGCTCTCGTGTAGTTAATGTCTCCATTAAAACACAGTTAGAACGAGGGAGGATATGAAAGGCAATGAAAGAGACATAGTAATGATAACTTGTATTTGGGGATTCGAAAATAAAAGGGAATATGATGGTAATAACTATATGTACAATGAAAACTTTCATTAACATCAATAGAAAATATAAAATTTATAATCTATCACATTATTTACGTGCAAGCTTTTGATCTAAGAAAAGTTTATATTATCTGGGATTCTTTTTCCCCCAAATGAAGCACATCATCAGTCAACCTCACTTCTAATTCGATCATGATGACTGCTCATTTAGTTATGGCTAAATTATACAAAACTTTTATAAATTTTGGGTCAGTTATGAAAAAAATTCTAAATTATCAGGTTAAAAGACAATCTTGCCTTTGAACTATTTCTTGAAGAGTATTAGTTATCCTAAACTATTTGTTGGAACTTGTAATATCACCTCTGGATATTAACATGCATTAACATTGACCACCTCAAATTAAATTTATGAGTACTTTTGCACCCGAAGTATTATGCTTGACATAAATATTAACTGGCATCCCTTTTTTTTTCCCCCCAGTTGTAAGAGGGGCAGGCTGGAACCCGCAACACGCACACCCCACACACGCACAAGCACTCCGCCAAGTGGCCAGTGGTTAGTAACTGGCATCCTAAATTTTGATAATAGTATTATCATAGGTTGTATCTATCCACCAACCCTTTTTTTCCTTTTTAATAGAACATGCACATGATGTTTTGCTATCAACCTTCAGTGCAGGTTGAGAGATTTTTTTTTTAGCAGCAAGTGCCCTACGAGCAAGTTAAGATAGGCATAGTTAAATTGTGAAAACGTTTCTAATTTATTGTTTCTCTAGCTAGGTTAATAGACTTGCTCTTTTACTAATAAATACTGGTTGGCAAAACATGTGATCACCTTAAACAAAATGCCACATGTTTCAACAAAAAGCAATGATATCAATTTCTCCACATTATTAAGCTCATATTAGTTGCTCTTCCATATATACTTCAAGGGCAACAATATTCTTTAACCCAGCTTAAAGTCAATCGAGAGTCAATGGTTGACATTAATATCCATTAGTTTAAGAGTGAGATTGCAACAATTTTGAAGCCCAAGGGGCAGCATTGCTATAATAATCAATAATTCAAATTAGATCAAAGTGCTTAATTGAACCCTATTCTTCTATGTTATTTCTCACCATTTTAAGTGTTCATTTAAGTTGTATGGGCTCTTTTACATGTATTTCTGTATAATTTGGATTAAGAGTGATTGTATTGAATTAAGCTTAATTTAGGGCTAAGCTATCATAATTGGTAATTAATTATATTCAATTGATTTATAGGATAATTGATGCTAAGAAACATTGATTTTCATTGTAGGACATGAGAGAAAAGGAGCCAAGGAGTCAAACCAAGGGATTACGCAAAATAAAAGACCAAGAAGTGGCTCTTTGTGTAGTTCACCACAGCGAACCCATTGTGCCTACAAAACAGCATTTTGGGCTTTGGACTATGTCAAATTGGAACCTTTTGCCCACTTCTGCACCTAGACCTGACTCCAACCATAGAAGAGGAAGACTGATTCAAACCCTAACACACTTCCTTTACCTCCATTCACTCCATCCCTTTTCTCTCCATTTCTCTCTTCCTCTACCTCCATTTCTACGTTCCTTTTTCCATTCCCATCCATTTTCTTCCATTTCCAGCTTCTATGGCTGAAGATTTCATGCCATTGCGTGCTATTCTAGAGGCTACGTGAAGTTATGATGATGATGGTGAGAGGCATGAGTTTCCAAGCTTCAAAAAGGTGTTTAGGCTCAGCCTTTAGTTTTGTGCTTTAATATATGTGGTCATATATATATGTTTCATTATGGCTCTTTTGATTCTCTCTTATCTTGAATACTTATGTTTGGGTATTGAGTTGATTTAGATTGCATTAAACCAATTGCATTAATCATTCTCAAATTGCACATTACAAGAGCTTAATAATGTTTCATTAATAAAGTTCATTGATTTAAATAATGGACTCAATGAGTCATTGAGGTTGTATTCAAGAAAGCCTAATGATTTTACAAAACTTCCATTATCTTGAGTAAAACATGATTGCCATCAAATTCATTTTCAGGAGATTTCCTATTATTCATTTCTATTTTATATAAAAATACCAAAAATGTTGTAACCTGGCTTTAATTTTATTGCATTCATTTAGTTATAGCTTAAATTACTTTTCTAAGCCAAAACCTCGTTTTATTGTAGTTATGATGTTTAGTTATCTTAGGACATCACTAAAGGTTTTTGAAAGTGAACATGACCTGAAGTCACACAATATTGCATCGGTTGGTTAAATTGTTGATTGAGAATCCCAAAGCGTAGCATGACGAAGTTCTCATAATTTAAGGGTAAAATTGCCATTTAACCATATAATTTAGACTCTCTTCTTCTATCTCTAGAATGGGTGGTAAGGTCTCCACTCCTCTAAAAGGCGGCAGGCTGAGGTCAAAGTTTTGGTGCCCAATTTCTCTGTCTGTTGTGAAAATAAATAAGAATAAAGGGAAATATAAAATCAATTGAATTTCAAACAAGGCACCAATCCCTTCAACCATAGTGCTTTTCCCCTAAATGCATCTTAAGAAACATAATGCAATAATGAATGAACAAAAAAAAAATTCACAAAGAATTAGGGCAATTGTAAGTCCCTCTCTCTACACTAAGATATACTATTTTTATTTATATAACCAGAGGTCAGATGCACTTGATTGTAAATTATTGTGAAAGACTTAAAATAAAACTCCTAATCTAACTCATTATCCCTTGCATGACTAAGTATGGAACCACAGGAGATATTTAAAACTCACCGCCCAATCTCATCGCATCTCATCACCTTAAAATCTCAATGCAATTTAAGTTCTCCTATATGATAATCAATATAAAATATACAGAGTAATATGAGTGGGATAGATCGAAGACGCTTACAAATTGCAATTTAGCTTATTCAATTAGGTTAAAATATGCATGGTTACTTATATATTTACAACTTATCTTTACTCATAAGATATTATCAAACTTAACAACGACAACAATGATTAGTTAGTTCATATCATTGCTTTTTTGAAAAAAATAAAAAGCTAAGTGCATGGGGCTCATCCATATGGAGAAGAGGGAAACCACTGTTTTTGGTCTCCGTGTGCTATTTATTTAACTACTGGAATTGACTTAATGCTTAGATTGACTAAGAAGAACCACTCCCGTAGGTTCTCTCTCATCTCTATATATATATATATTCTCTCACATCGCACCACCGAAGGACTAAGCAATATCACTCTAAAAGCAAAGAACATATAAAGGCATCCCATAAGGTAAAATAAGGGTCTTCTTTCTCTGTTCATCTACAGATTCTTCATCTTCTTCAACAGTGAACGGTAGCCGTATTGCTCATCTGTTTGCAAAAGCATTTCCTTGAATAAATCTCACTTGTATGTTTTCGACTTCGTTTCATTCTACTTTAACTTTCTTCCTCCTGGCCTACCTTTATGATTTCATCAAAGATGTCGGAGAGTCACTTTCAAATATGACTCAGATCTTTTAAATCTCATTTTCTATGCATACCTCAAGAATTGTAATTTTTATATTATCATTTCCCAGAAAACTAACTCTCCGATTCTGGAAACTGGTTTTAGGCAAGTGCTACGAGAGGAAAATTTCCTGTTGCAGTCGAAATTCCAGGTATGGAGGATTATAATTGAAATTATACAGAGGACTTAATTCATTTTTGTCAAATATATCACACAGATCTTAAGACTGAAGTAATAAACCTGTATAAAAATAAATGTTCTTTTCACGGTTTAATCTTCACGAAATTATGATTAAGTGAGTACAGTTTCACCAAATTACTTTGCAAATTTTTGAAAATGGAAACTTTGAAAGAAAGGCTTTTCAACATCATCTAATCATTGGTATGTGAAGTCATTAGAGTGCAGAGCTGCTTTCTTGAACTTGCTTGATTTTCCCGAACACCGATACCCCTTTGATTTCATTAACTGTAGGTCAAAAATCGTCAACACTCATAGTTTGTCATAATTAACAATTTAATTATTATCATTCATATGTATAGTTGACCGAAAAATCTACTTCCTAGTTCTAAATATAAGATCCTTTTAATTAATTCACAAATTTAAAAAAAAAACAAGTAGATTATAATTATTGATTTTTTTGGTAATAATTAATACGCAGAGTTACTTTGACTTCAAAAATTTGTTTAAGGATCGGTGCAATCTATCTTCAGTGGGCACAACTCTATTTTAGCTATGTATAACCTCTATATAATTTTATGCGAAACAGAAAACATTTTTGCATATCTAAGGTTATATTGCACATAATTGAAGACGAGTTCTACTCCCTTTAAGTCCTAAGTTCTTAGATATCTTTGGGCAATAATTTTTGTTGGGAGGAATTTTTCAAGAAATGTTATTTTTATTATTTAAGTATATCTGTATATCTTATTATCACACTTGTCATCAGGAGGAATAAGTGCTTATTTTAATAAAAAAAATTTGAAAGGAAATTCACATGCTGATATTGAGTATATATAGTGAACTATTAATTAATGTGTATGACTTTGCAGATAAATGGATGCATCAAATCAAGATCCAAGAAATCCTCCTCAAGGATCTAGTCGCCCCCAATTACGGAGGGTCAGATCAGCTGAATTTAGAAGACCTTCCCATAACTTTTTACAGGTATGGAGGATTATTATTGAAATTACAAAGGATTCAATTCATTTTTGTCTAATTATATAGATTTTTTAATATAGCAATTTGACAACATCAAATTTGAGTATTTTTTAGTCCAATTGGAGTATTTCTTCCAAAGACATTTTTTGCATTGACACAAACTCAGCCAAAAAATCTACCCCATTTTAGCCCTAAATATAATGGCTTTTAACTACTCCACAGATTTCAAAAGGAAAGGTAGGTAAGTTGATTTTTTAATTGTAATTAATACGTAGAGAGTTAGTTAATTTTAATAATTTTTTCAAAAAATAATGTTATGATTAAAATTTAATGTGTAAAGATAAAAACCAATAAATAAGGATATTATGGGAATGAAAATTTAAGAGTTAATACAATTTTTGGTCATTCAAGTTTGCTCTCATTTTGGTTTGCGTCTCTCAAATTTTTACCATTAGCTTTTATCCCTCAAGTTTCTTTTTATTTAAAACATTGGTCATTGTAATTCCATAAAAATCTTGACTATTTTGTCCCTTGAAGGACTAAAACTTATGGTTTAAAACTTGAGGAACTAAAACCAAAATGAGGACAAACTTGAGGAATCAAAAATTATATTAAACCAAAATTTAATAAAGGAGATTAGGTGGAATGAGTCCTAACAAAACAAAAACTATCGAATGGAGACATTTGGAATGTGAGGGAGTGCGCGCGCGCGCGTATATGTTTGTATCGGTACGCATTATGGAAGTATCTACATGTTTTTTTTTCCCCATAAAAAGAGTGAACTTGCATCAACCATCCTAAAATAATTTTTAGGGGCATCCAGTATATTAATTTATTTTGTGTGCATCCAGCAGTTCAGCACCCTAAAGATTTTTTGGCGCAATTTTACACTTAGGATTTTAGAGTGCTAGATATACCAAAAAATAATTTAGAATACGGGATACACCTAAAAATATTTTAGGATGTTAGATATATTAAAATATAATTTAGGACTAGAGCCGAAAAAACGGGCTGAGCCCGTTTATGCCTAAAAATTATGAGGATCGGGCTTAAAAATTTTCCCCTCAAATGGGAAACAAGCCCTACAAGTCTAGCCTTGTAAGGCTGAGGGCTTAAACAGGCCAACCCGTTTAGGCCTTTTTATAATTTTTTTTTTAAAAAAAATTGGTGTAATTCTAATATTATTAATTTTTTTACATTGTTAATGATATTTCAAATATTTAGTTATTATTATCATTTTAAAATTAAATTTCACATAATGGTTTGATTTATGTAGTTTTAGACAATAATTTGTCCAATTAAATTTTAAAAAATGGGTTAATTTGGACCTTAATAATGATTTGATTTATATTATATGAGTTGATATTTTAAACTATATATATTTGATAAGAGGGTATTTGTATACTTATATAACTTGTAATTCTATAATTTGAATTAGAAATTTATGAGTTTCAATAACAATGTTTCTCAAATTAAAGTAAAACAATAGCTAGATTGCAAAATTTAAAAGTAAAATTCCTATAAAAAGAAAAACTTGATATTTTTGTTAAGAAAGAAAAGCATACTTATGAAGAAGAGTAATTAATTATAATGATGATGAAGTTTTAAAAGATTATAATAGTGTTTGTTTATTGCACATTTGCATTGTAGATGAAACTTTTGGATGTTGTTATCTTGTTAACAAATGTTTTAAATGTTTTTAGATGTTGATGGATATTTATATATAATGATATTTTGTATTTGTGATTTAATTTTATTCATATTTATGTCTTTATTAATAATTTCATTAGTTTATTTTTATTTTTTGATAAAAAATATGAGAATTATAAAAAATAGTATTTTTTTATATGGGCCCCACCAACCGGCCCTAAGCCTGTTAGCTTAAGAATCAGGCCTAACAAATTGGGATATTTTTTAAATTTCAACCTTGTAAAGCCGGCTCTTCTAAGCCCACCAGCCTACAGGGCCGGCTCTATAGGACCGAGCGCCGGTCCTAATTCCCACCTCTATTTAGGACGCTGAATGTATCTAACAAAATACTTGGAGGTACTGGATGCACTGTAAAACATTTTAAAAATGCACGTAAAAAATACTTACTGAATGCATTTTAACCAAAAATAAGATTGATAGAAAAATCATCATGATGATACCGAATATAATGAAGTGTTAATTAATGTGTATAATTTTGCAGATAATGAATGCATCAAATGGTGATATAGTGAATCCTCCTGAAGTACCCAGTAACTCCCTATTACGAAGGGTGGAATCAGCCGTGTTCAAGAGACCTTCCCTTGACCTTTTACAGGATACGCGTAATTAACTACTCCCTCCATTTTCTCTAATGTCATATAAAACACTAATGCGTTCAGTTATTTTTAAGGTTCCTCACGATTTTCCTATAACATAAAAAAAAATCAATTTAATATGCATAACCAAATATCTATCCTTTGATACTATAAGATAAAGTTTAAATTATGTTCCATTTTACGTTTATCTATTCGTACACAAGGCAACAAAATGATATAAAAACATACATATCTCATCTTTACAATCTTAATTTCTTTTTCATTATTATATTTTCACATATATTTTAACCTTCTTGTTTGGTAGTATTTCAGCAACGTTTTGTCTACTTAGTAGTGTATTTTCATTGCAAATTTTGGGGATGAATATCTAATGAAATACTGACTGAAGAAGGGGGATTGGCAGGGGAGATGACTCCCTAATTTTTCAAATTTTTTTTACCCTAAGTTATTTAATTAGTAGTTGATACAACACCTGCAATATTTGTTTAGGCGTGTCTTCTTAAAATTTTTGTGATTTATCCATCACTTTATAATATGTTTTTAGTTGCGTTAAATACCCTAATTTATGGGTTTAGAGTATTCATGGTAATAGACACACTTGAAAAAATATGACATTGTGTAAAATGAACTACAAAATACTTCAAAATTCAGGATAAACTTGGAAAATATTTCAAGGTCATTAATGAACCATTAAATAAATGCTTTAGAGTGTTGAACACACCTAAAAAATACTTCAGAGCATTAGATCAACCTTTACCTACTACACACACGACCAATTTTATCTTAGCCTCCTTATGCGTAAATTTTGGCTCTCTATAAAAGATGATCGTTCCCATAAATAAGTCACATCCCCACAAATTAATATGAGAATTTCACAATGAAATCACTTTCGTTTCAGCTGAGGCCAGAATGATGTACTTGAAATTATGTGTGCCTCTTCACAAGTATGCATCTGAAGGCAATTGGGAAGAAGCTAAGCTCATATTAGGTCAAAATAGAACGCTTCTGAGTGCTGCCATAGCACAAGGATGGTCAACAATACTTCATGTAGCAGTAGGAGCAGGTCATTTTCACTTTGTGGAGGAGCTTGTGAACATGATGGAAGAGAACAAAATACACTTGGATTTACAAGACTCAAACGGAAACACTGCCTTCAGCTTGGCTACTATTGCAGGAAACTTGGAGATTGTTCAGTTAATGTTAGGAAAAATTGCTTCTTACCAAAATAAGAAGTCGAACAGGTTTCACTCCTATTCTTTTTGCTGCATTACAAGGAAGAGCTGATTTGACAAAGTATCTATATCCTTTCACTGTTGATGAAAATTTTGAAGAAGTAGAATGGAAGAAGTTATTCCTCACTTGCATTGACTCTGGTATTTATGGTAAGTATATATTGCGTACGAAGCACAAATACACTTAATTATTATAAGTGAAGTAGAAGTAGGGCACGAATAAGTATTTAGTACAAACAAAATTAAAAAAATAACATCCTTTGTGAATTATTTGAGCTTGATATGTAGCTCTATGTTTATTAAACTGTCTGACAGCTTTTAATTTTAGAATTTGCGTTTCTGTTGATAACTGTTTCATAGATTTGGCATTGCACATGTTGAAAGAAAAAGGAAAACTAGCATTTGCAACGGATGAAGATGGCATGACAGGTTTACATATCATGGCTCAGACAGCAGATTTAGGAAGTTATAGGCCAGAACATCAAATTCAACTCACAAGTTCAGGTAAATTGATTAGCATTGTAACTGCCTGTTTGGAAGACTAAAAAACTGTTCTTAACAAGTGATCTATTAATATTCTACTCCCCCCTCCCAACAAATATTTATCAATATGCATCTAGTATATTGCCTAACTTCTAACTGGGCATATTCAATTTATCAAATTATATACCCTAGGTACGAAGAATGGTGTTGCCCTTGACCTTGTTCATCTCCTATGGGAAGAAATTCTCAACGGTGTAGATTCAAAGGAAAATATGAAGAAACTCATAAATGAACCATCAAGACTACTATTTGATGCAGCAAAAGTTGGAAACTTGACTTTTTAGCTACACTTATAAAGTCTTACCCTGATTTAATGTGGCAGTTAGATGACAAAAGACAAACTATAATTCATATTGCTGTTTTATATCGTCATCCTAAAATCTTCAATCTCATCCATGATATAAGCGGAAGAAAGGATATCATGTTGTCATATAAAGACAAAAATAGTGGAAACACTATATTACATTTGGCTGCAATGTTAGCACCAGCTAATCGACTTGAATTGGTCTCTGGAGCAGCTTTCCAATGAAGTTTGAACTATTATGGTTTGAGGTACTTTTTATTGGTAAATATGAAATGATTTAGATGATCCCAAAAACTAGAATATTTACATGAATTAATTTATGAACAATCCCTTGATATGGCAGGAGGTGAGGAAGATAGTGTTGCCCTCATATATGAAGAAGAAAAACTCAAAGGATAAAACCCCTTGTGAGTTATTCACTGAGGAGCATGCTGCATTACGTAAAGATGCTGAATCTTGGATGAAAGGAACAGCTAAGTCATGTATGCTTGTTTCAACTCTTATTGCTACCGGTGTGTTTACTGCGGCATTTAGCACACCAGGTGGTATTAAGGATGATACAGGAGTTCCAAATTATTTGGGAAAACGATCATTTACGATATTTGCAATATCAGATGCCATTGCAATGATCTCCTCTTCGGCTTCCATACTAATCTTCTTATCCATTCTCATATCACGTTATGCAGAATATGACTTTCATCATTCTTTACCCTCAAAGCTAATATTCGGATTGATAACACTCTTCATCTCCATAACAAGCATGATGATAGCATTTAGTAGTGCTTTCTTTGTGACATATGACCGTGGCTTAAAGTGGGTTCCTATCTTCATTTCAGCTCTTTCTTTTTTACCAGTAGTCATATTTTTACTTTCACAATTTAAACTTTTTTGGATATCATTTACTCAACATTTTATTTAAGATGTCTATTCAAACCAAGCGAGCATGTGCTTTACTAGTAAAATAGAGGCTATTTTAATGTTCTTGTACCCAGTGTATATTTTGCTTATTACTTCAATTTGTAATCTCTCTCTCTGTATATATATATTAGCCTTTCTTAGATTTGGCAATGTGTAGTTGTGCGTGCAGAATTTCTAAAGAAATGATTTGATATCTGTAATGACAGTAAGATACTTGGCACATTGCTTGCCACTGCCCCAAAAAACTGTCTTTACAGTTGTTACTTTGTAGGGGTTCTAAAAACTGCTACGAAGTGCATAATTTGTAGTGTTTTAAGTCAAATCACTACAAATTTGCAGTTTTTTTGACTAGGAAGGAGTTTGTGTCATCTTTAGTAGTGGTTTTTGGAGCAATTAGTGCCACATGGCGCCAACTGGGCATCATATTTATATTGGTCAATTTGTAGCGATCAGTTTATAACGGTTTTTTTTTTTTGGTAATGAGTTTATTACGGTTTTGTCAAGCAGATATACATGATTGGAGGGCTTTTAAGTAGCTTTTGGGGGTAGAAGCATGTTTGGTACTTTTACATATGTTTTGCATCACTTTTGATCAATTTGGCTTTTGAAGCAAAGGGGCTTAAAAGCATAAGCCAATATGGAGTTGCTTTTGGCTTATTCAATGTTGGGGGGGGGGGGGGGGATATCATGATCGAAGAAGGAGAAAGGTCTCGAAGTGGATCCTATCTTGATTTGATGAAAAAAATAAAATTACTTCAAAAGATTCAATAATTGATGTTTATAAGGATATTCAAAGAAAAAAATTAAATAATAAAATTGAAGAAAAATTAAGGAAAAGTTCCCATTGGAAATTTAATTGGTGAGACCATGACTTGATAAATTTTTATATACACTAAGCATTGGTATTCTGGGAATTTCATACACACAAACTTATTATTTAATAAAAGTCATACCAAATTTGATAATTTTACACACTAAACTTCTCATTCAATCATAATCCAAACAACTGTTTTTACAAACTAACTTATTTATAAAAGCTATAATCCAAACGTAAATTATAGGGAAAATGACAGAAAAATGACTGTTGAAATTTAAAATGACAAAATGGGTATGCAAATAACTGAAATGACCAAATAGGCATGGGGTATCAATCTGGAATTTTGTCAATTCGGTAGAAAGACTAAAATGCCCTGAACCTCTCTGAAGATATGAACTGGAAGAAAACAATACTATACCAGAAGAGAGAGAGGCTGAGAAGACAAAGCTAGAGCAAGGGTCGAAATCTGGAAAGAGGGAAAAGGTAAGCAATTTTTCCGTTAAAACGCTGGTATCACCCGATTTCTTGACTCGCTTTGTTGCTGCATGCTCGAATGGGATGGGTCTGTGAGTGTAGAGGGTTTGGATGAAGAATTTGACCAGGGCAAGAGAGTGACGCGTCGGGAATGGAAAAATGGTGACAAACAGTAAGCATGAGGTGGTCAGTGTTGTTAAATTCATTAGTGAAATTGTAAATTCCTATATTTAAGTTGTCGCTGGAGTAAGTGGGTGTGTGTATTTTTTGGGTGTTTCGAAAGATAAATGAAATTGATTATTGGGGGAACTAAAATATTGATTTATGCTTCTTTGTTGCAGGTTAGCAGGCTTTGATGACATCTGACATTGGGTCTAACATTGAGGAGTAATTTTTTTGGTGTAAATAGAATAACTTTTGAACCCTTAATTTTTTGGGAGAATAGTTGATAGAGAGGTTATCCTTTTTGTAAATGATGTTAACTGGATAGGATATTTTTGTAATCTGAATGACAAGGAAACATGGGGTGGTGGTTTAATCTTAATGTTAACTTGTCATTTGAATACAAGTTACGTAACTTCTGTCATAAACGTACTGGTTTTTGGTAAATCTTATCACTTCAGTAGTCAATTATATTATACATGTAGTAAAGTCTGAATGTTAATATAAACATATTATGATGTTCTTCAGGTGTACTTGTATGCTATTTGTCAACACATTTTTACCATTTGCTTAATTCCTCCAAGGGAAATGGTGGAAGTTGCCAATGGGCATGACCGGAGTGGTTAATTTGATTACAAATGCTATTATTCACATTACAAATGTTGTTATTATCATTATCAGGGTAGTGAGTGGCTTATTTTTATCAAATGAAGCCACTACACTGACCAAAAGACAGCATTTGTGATAGTAGTAAAGATTACGTAAATTAAACATATAGTATTTGTGAAAGTAGTGTTCAGATATTGTCAAAATACTTGAGTTATGGTTGTAGGTTGTAAGTTATGATATTTGTTGGCTTAATTTAAATCTTTTTTGGAATAATTTCACTAAACAAGTAATGATAATTACAGCATGCATAATGAAAGTTGTAATTTCTGTCATGGCATTTGCAACTCAATTATTTGTACCCCAAATTACATCTATTTGGACCCAAATTTCACTACACACGTAATGGGATTAACAACATTCGTAATGAAAGTGACCACTTCCGTATTGCCATTGGCAACTCATTTATTTTAAACCAAAGTAACATGTATTTGGAGCCAATTTCACTACTACTCGATAATGATAATGACAACATTTGTAATATGAATTACAATTTTTGTAATGAGAGTTATCATCTCGCTATTGCCATTTGCAACTCGTTTATTTCAAACCCAAGTAATATATATTTGGAGCTAATTTCACACTCCTGATAATGATAATGACAAAATTTGTAATGTGAATTACAACTTTCGTAATGAGAGTTATAATTTCGCTATTGTCATTTGCAACTGGTTAATGTGAAATGAATTTAAATATGTAACATAACTGGAGCCAATTATATGAAAATAACATTAATAAGCCAATTTGTACATAATAATGACATGATAATATTGGAACGTGATTATAACTTTTGCAATAAGATTACTATCTTTTTTGCCATTTGTTAATCATTTCTTTCAAACCCAAATAACATATATTTTCAGCCAATTTTACTACCCCGATAATGATAATAACAACATTTGTAATGTGAATAACAGCATTTGTAATCAAATTAACCACTCCGGTCATGCCCATTGGCAACTTCCACCATCTCCCTTAGAGGAATTAAGCAAATGGTAAAAATGTGTTGACAAAATAGCATACAAGTACACCTGAAGAACATCATAATATGTTTTATTAACATTCAGACTTTACTACATGTATAATGTAATTGACTACTGAAGTGATAAGATTTACCAAAAACCAGTATGTTTATGACAGAATAACGTAACTTGTATTCAAATGACAAGTTAACATTAAGATTAAACCACCACCCTAATGTTTCCTTGTCATTCAGATTACAAACATATCCTACCCAGTTAACATCATTTACAAAAAGGATAACCTCTCTATCAACTATTCTCCCAAAAAAAATTAAGGGTTCAAAAGTTATTCTATTTACACCCAAAAAAATTACTCCTCAATGTT